TTCGCGAGACATTTGATTCCGATATCCGAATAATGTGTTGGGTCCTTCGTCCTTTCGTTGCACGCGAATAGCGAGGGCTCGTCTTCTAACTCGGGGGATCAAACGTCTGTGCTGACCACCATCCCAGCCGTTCTCCCGGAAGCAGCTTCATTATCCTGGTACGATGCACAGTCTGGTCTGACTGCCGAGTTACACTTGCAATCGCTCGGTTGTTATCATCTAACTCACCGAGCTCACGTTCAATTCCGTCGATTTCACACATCCAATTGCCATCCCCGCTTCTTCCCTCGGGCCGTCCTGCTTCGCCTACGAAGGCAAACAAGAAGTTCGCCTCAACTGCAGGTTCAGCTGACTGTGGCAGCCCGGCATATTCCAACCCAGTCAGTGTTGGCGGGCCGCCGAGTTTAAATCACTCGGCGCGTAAAGGTTTTGCAGGTCTTCTGGCACTTGCGACTTGTCGACAGAGTTCTTCACGAACGCAGCCAGCTTCTCATATTGACGAAACAGCTCGCACTGGCCGCCTTCATGGACTTGTCTGCAGAATTTGCAGCGTCGTCGACAGTAGTGAGCCGAGTGCCCCATTCTTCCACAAGCTGCACAAGGTCCACGTTGGGTGTTGTCGCGTGATCCATCTCCACGATTCGACTGTTCTCGTTGGTTGTACGGTCGCGGAGGCTGGTTCGCTGAGTTTCCCCAGCTTCGGCTCGAGCCTTTCTGGTCTCCCGTCGAGTTCTCTCGGCGGTCCGGTGTATTTCCTTTATCATTGAAAACGCCGGCGTCAATGTAGTCGTCGTCTTCCGCTGAGTCGTGGCCTCCGGACTGGTCCTCATCATCCCATTCGTCTTCGGAGTTGTACGGACTCGGCGGGTTCTGATCGATGAGTTCCTCTCCGTCGGAGTCAGCGTCCACGACAGTGACTCGGCGGTCGCGGTTTTCTTCCTTGCGACTACGCTTCTCATCTCGGCGGCTCTGATCCTTCCGCTTGTCATCTCGGCCTCGTGCGATCCTGAGTCGGTCGCGTTGCTTCTTGCGCTTCTCGCCGAGGATCCGACGATTGATTATCTGTTCCACCTTACTGATGTCTCCCAACTGCAAGGGGTACATCAAATCCATCACATCGTCATCACCACAATGCAGCAAGAAGTGTTCGACATGGTCAGCTGCGTCGGCGCCACCCTTCTCGTACTGGATCTTGGCTGTCCGAGCATACCCGTTGAGTCGGATCAGGAAGTCGCAGATCGGTTCGTTGACTTTACGTCTCGCCGAGTAGTAACGAGTGCGGGCGGATTGGTCGAGCTGTGAGCAATAATAATCCAGGAACGCCTCGCTGAGTAGTTTCCAACGTCGCTGAGTCTTCTTCGGCAGCTGCCTGTACCAACTCTTCGCCGCACGTCCCAAGCATAGCGAGAAAGGCTCGCACCATGCACTTTGGGGCATCCTGGTGCTCTTCATCTCGTAGATGAAACGCTTGAGCCACTGGAGCGACGCGTCAGAGCGGTAGCGCTTTCCTTCGAACTCGGCGATTTTGTCGAGCGAGGCGTGGGTTCGGACTTCGAGGTACTGCGTCGAGTCCTCTTCAGCCGCGTCAAAGCTCAATGTGGTGTAGGGATTTCCAGATTCGACCATACGCCGACCTACTTTAGGTCAAGAATCGGCTCGGTCTGATAAACCAGAGCTTAGGAACAAAGGATCACGGTAAGTACTCGGCGATCTGTCCGGATATGCTATCCGGATAGCCGCTGAGCTCAACGGCCGCCTGAAGAGTCGGTAGAGATCCGAAACGACTACATTTCACTAGATATTTGTATGAGAAGCATAGGATTAAATAGGAGGAGCCGAAAGGGCTCCCAGAAGATAACAGAGCAGAATTTTCCTAGTCCAAGACACGTGTACACTTTTCCGGTAAGTCCCTGCATAGGGCTGGATTATGCCTGCCGTCAATACTCGAGAGGCATAGCTTGTAGGGTATTGACTGGTAGCGCCAAGAGATTAGGTCGGTCCGGGTAGGACAAAGTCTCGCTACGCGCGAAAGAAAGTCCCGCATACTCAGCGGGCCGGTACGTCGGATAGCCCGGGTGCCGTAACACTTCTAGCTGAGCTGCCTCTGCGCTCGGTGACCTGTAAAAGCGCTCGCGCGCCGTCGTCCATCCTTTGGTGGAGGGCACAGGGTTGTGAACGAGCTCAGCCGAACCAAACTCGGCGGAGCCTCGGAAGTGATCTGACTTGGTTAGTCGGAACCGGGTGGAAGCGAGCCACTCGTCTGTCCCGGAAGGGCCGGACCGCGAGGGGACCACCCTCTGCGCAGGCCATACAAACCGCCGACCTAACTCGGCGATTCGTTGTGGTTTGTGTAAGGAATCCACATCTGACGATATTTGTGTGTTCTACTACACCACAACTCCCCGTCGTCGCTGAATCCGCGGAGATGGCTCCTGCTGCTCCTCCTGCCCCAGCTGGTGGTCCACCACCACTCACCGAAGATTCGCTGCGCGCCATGCTGGCTGAAAGTACGGAGG